TAAAATATTATTTTCTTGAAAAATGTGTTTTTGAAATAATAATCAATTCTCAAATAAAAAACAAACACCCCTTTAATTAATAATTTTAATACAAATAAGTTCTAGACAATTGAATTGCCTAGAATTTATTTTTTTTCATGCCAATTTCATGCTCACAATCAAATGCACCCTTAAGGGTTTCTGCGAAATAATGTACTACTTAAATTAACCTAATTTTGAAAAATAAAAATTGACTAAAAATAAAGGTTTATGGTTACTCTATTTAAAATTATTAATATTTATAGACAAACAACAGCCTTTTTATCGTTGTCATGACTCCATTTGAATGATCAAATTGACATCCTGGCAAACCAACCGGCAAGTCTCGAAAGAAAATTCTTAGCAATTGGAAAACGTGGGCTCCAAAATTGCCGACCCTCTTATACCAAACAAGAAGACCATTACACATTAAAATTAATGTGTCTTGGTCCTTTCGTGTGAACATAACAAACACAATAATATGTACATGTACATTAACAAAAATGGATTACAAGTTCGCAAAATTTTAACTGTTTCAGACCAACATGACTATTGATTCGTCCAGAGTATTGAATTGCCGGGTTGTTCGTTCAACTCGTGAATTATTGAGAATTTCTTAAAAATTTGAGAAACTACTAGTATAATTGGTCAACTACTAGAACAAGTCCGTCAAGTTCGATTCTAATATATTAGATCACGTGTTTGAGATACAATACTTGATGCTACCAAAATATGTACCTAGGATGACCTGAGGTCACGAAGTTGACCAAGCACTAGATATTCAAATTGAAGCATATCATGAATAGTGTTGAAACAAAGACTATGATGTATGTCCTTGTATATCCTCCGTGCTTAAGTTGGGGACGTATAAAGAAAAAATGAACGCAGAAAGCTAATCCTCGAGGAACATAAGGTTGGGTGTAACTTTATTGTAAAAGTTTCCTTCCTATTAAATTCACGTCAATCAATCTCAACATTTATTCCTTCACATTTAGATCTTCAACTCTTGAAATTTGTAACATCATGCTCCCGGGACCGTTCATATCCACATTGCCATTAAAAAGTTGAAATGTAATTGAAAATACATTATATCCTTATTTTTAGTTTAGACAAAAAATTTAAAAAGCAAATTTGTTCCAATGCCACTATCGGCATCGAATGCACCCTTTTCCCCGTATCCAAACTTCCGTTTCATGTAGGACCGAGTAGGGCACCTAGGGGAGTTTGATTGGATAAGAATAAGATCTACTTTTATCTTTAAAATGTCAATCGTGTAAAAAACCTTATCTTTTTAATATTTAAAAACCGTCCATCTAAAGGCTACATCACTTATGAATAGAGAACTCTGCTATAGCTTTTTCTCACTAATACTCTATTATAATACGAACTATCCTACCAAACAAACCACATGTATATAAAGGACCAGCCACGCCACATAACTGAGCTGTTTATAGGTTATAAATGTAGTTGCTGCTTAGGCAGCTGTAACAGAAGATGCCCATGTGTTGGGCCAATTTTTGGTGTCTACCAATAATTCTGCAGCTAAATAAAGATTCAACCCCACATGGAAAAAATTACACGTCCACTTCAAATCAGAATCCAATATGCCTTTTAGCAGACAAGATTTGACATCAAATATGACCGTATCGGAATCAAATCAATCCATATTTCAACTACCATGGATCTGTTACAAACATTGTCAAATAATTGTGAAAAACAATACAAAATTGGTATAGTTTTAGACGTGCAAGATAAGTTGGATTAGACAGCACAAATTCTTTTTTTAATATGTAATGAACACTTTATCACAGTCAGCTAGCTATTCTTAAAGAAGATTAATGAATTTTACTTGTATTAACATGGTGAGACATGGGTTGTTGTTGAAACAAAGCTAACAAGAGCAAAAAATATGGCAAGCCAAGAGAAAACTTTGCATTGATGAGCAATTGGCTTGTCTAGTAGTAACAAGACACATATAAGAAAAGGAGCCCTTCTACTTGTGTTAATCTTGATTGCTCGATTTGAACCGTCTGGTTGGAGAATCTAGAAATGTGGGTGAGCGAGGTGTTGATGGTGAAGAAGTTGATGACAAATCGGAAGACGGTTCAGGTGAAATGGAAGATGTGGGAGAAGGTGAAGGTGATGGGCTTGGCGAAGTCTCTCGTAATTTTCTCTTGTTAAACCCTGTATCTTGACTCTTCATTCGACCCTCTCCAAACATGTAGTTCTTCAAACGTTTTACGTCCGATAACTTAACGGGTTTTACTATAAAATCTTCCGCACCTTCTTCCAAACATCTGATATTGAATAACAACTTGTTAGAATGAATTACTTCACAAACCCATCAATTGAGACATGAAATTAAACAAACTCTATATAATAAACTAAGCACAATCCCATAAATTAGATTATAAGACTTCGAAGATCAAAATCCACAAAACACGTTCGGATCTCATCGAGAAAAGACACTGAACTCGTGCCATTTTTTTGAATTAGCAAAAACTTGCTCTACATAGTTTCATACTCCGATCATTTCTTGAAAAAAAAAATGTTCTCTTTACTCAACCAAGTTGGTGTTTATTTTCAAGAGTAGTTCAATTAGTTGTCTGGATAAGATTTTGTAACGCATACTAAAAATTAGGTAACTTGTTCCATAATATAAGTAGATATTGAAGCATTAATTGGCAGCCAATTCATTGATTCTAGTCGTGTGCTAAACCTAATTGCAAAAAAAAACTATGATTAAGATTGCCATGGACCACCCAACTCCAATAAAATTATCATAAACCATAATTAAACAAATAATTAATTTATGTTTCTTTGCAAAGATTAATTAGCATATGTTCTGTAGATGAGAAAATAGGCTAAAAAGTGACTTTTAAACACGGTCAAACATGATGTAAATCTATCAACTTGGTTATTTTGCATATTCTAGCTTTTCTTGAAATTAAAATCAGAGAGAAAAATGTATAGGCCAGCAAAAGATATGAAGGTACCTGTCAATCCGAGTTAAAACATTTTCAGATGACATAATCACAACTGGAATTTCTCTAAATGTAGATGAACCCTGTTGACATTACAAAAAGATAATTCATTTTCAAATAATTATAATCTATAAATGAAAAATCTTGATATAAGAAATTTCATGACAGAAATGAACCTTGATTTTCTTCAGTAATTCATAGCCAGTCATTCCAGGCATACAATAATCTGTGATGATCAGATCTACCTTTAAACCACCCTGATTATCAAAATTAATCACCCATTAATACATTAATTAACACAAAAAAAGCCTTTATAAACAATTGTTTTGAAAAATAATTATAATTAATCATTTACTCACATCAAAACCAACAGAACTTTCTTCTTCATCCAGTCCTAAGAACTGCAAAGCCCTCATCCCACTATCCACAACTGTAACTGCAATTGCACAAATAATTAGTTTTCATAAAATTAAGCAACTTTAAAAAAATATATTAAAAGAACCATTTATGAAAATTTTGCACACCTTTACAAGAAGTGATTTTGAGCAATTTCTCAATGACTTTCCTATCAACAAAACTGTCATCAACGGCTAAAACATGAACTTCGTCATGAGATGATGATAAATCATTATCCAACCGTTCATTCTTCTCTAGCCTTCTTAATCTTGAAAACACAACATTTGTAGCCATTTACAGTTCTGGGAGAAAATCTTGAAAAAAAAAACAATTTTTTTTTTTTTTTTGGTTTCAAAAGAGCCCTTCAAGTTAAAAGCTGATATAAGAAAGAAAGAAATAAAGAGAAGAGATTTGGTGTAATATAATGGTGAATGAATCTGTATGTATCAAAAATATATGGGATACCACACGTCTTTTTCAATATATATATGAAGAAAAAGAAGTGTTGAAAATCAAATCCTATGAAATCCACTTTTTAATATTTACAAAGCATATGGCTGAGATTCTGAAATCCACTTTGGTGGCGATCCGATTTTCCATATCTTGGTGAGGTTTTCAAGTTTTCTTCACCAAAGACGTGATTTTCTCGCGGGATTTTGATGAAGTTAGGGGGTGGACCGGGAGTTATTCAAAAAAGTTGGGCAGTCAATATGGGAGGATGGAATTTTGGGATAAATTTACTGACAATTACTGAACCTGGAATTTGTTGCTAACGGTTACTTTAATGCAATAACAGTCAGCACGTGCCAATACCACTAGAGGAAATTATTTGAAGGACAAGTTCGAGGAAAAAGCATCATTTGATACAATTTAAAATTAATTTATTATAAATACAGTCGAAATATTTATTTCAATTACACATCTATAATTATTATTTACATATTTCTAGGAGTGTAAGCGGTCCGATTTTACGATTTTTGACAAATTTTCAAACTAAACCGTTTTGACTGGTTTGAGAAAAACTCAAACCTAAACCAAACCGTTTTGATCGGTTTGAAAAAAACTCAAACCTAAACCTAACGGTTTGGTCCGGTTTTAAACCGCCGGTTTCGCGTATATCTTTTTCCTATA